AGCTGTTAAAGTTGAAGATTATTTTTCACTAAAATCAACTAACTTTCATGCTAATTTATTTCCCAGAAAAGCACGCATGTGTAACCTTAATATTTGCACGTCACTTGCAGACATCTCAACGTCCTCCATGTTTGGTTTGATCTTTCTAACTTTGCTATGGCATGATCTATCAGCGTCGGAAGGTTGAGTGTAAATAGTTACAGAGCTCCACTTACACAAATCAACCATTTGTGCCACTCACGCACGGGTCCCATCATCACTGCGTATGCCAACTCATCCATATCCTGAATCAGTAAGCCACATCAACAACAACCCAAATATCAATCCCTTACGCCATCATCCATCAAAGCTATAAATAAGCGCACTCAATCAATTGAAATAAAGAATTCAACCCATTATTGAGTCTCACTGTATTCTCTCGTCTCTTGTCACTATCATCATCTATCACTTTATTCGTGCGCATTTCAGCCATCATCCTAACAGCATCAGCTGCTTAATAGTATCTGGAGCAAGCCTATTGCGTGTGTGAGGAAGCATTAATCTAGTTGCTGAGAAACAACGTTCCGATGGGGTTCATGTAGCTGGGATTGCAAGATAACGTGCAGCCATACGAGACAAACTTGGTCAACGCGTAGCTGCTGATTCCCAAAATAGTAGCTCTTGAGGTTTATCCTTGGTCACCATTGGTGGCAATGATCGTTCAGCAACATATTCCTTCAATTCGTCATTGGTTGGCTCCAATAGAAATAATTCATGCAAGGCTTGGCTTTGTTCACTGATCTCAGGTGCAACAGGCACCATTCCTGAAAACTTGCTCCACGTATCGCAAACGGATTTCTCGGCCTTGTCCTTTATGCTTTTTTCCCATCTCGAACGTGTCCACCAATCAAACCTCATCCGTGGATCCATTGCAGTTGCCACAGCGTATACTTCTGTGTCATCGGTCCTTCCATAATATGGCAGCAACTTTTCACGTCCAGCCTTTGCAGCATCTCGTAGATCTTGTGGACATGTGGGGTTCTCGACGGTATCAGCCAAGTCCTCGAGTTTATCAATTAACCGATTGTAGCTAAGGATCGTCATGTTGACCGTGGTATGAGACGTGCTTGCTGATAGCATCCTTGTGGCATGATCAAAGGGTTCCAGGAGCTTGCACATATGCTCCACGCGATCCCATTCATCACCTTCCAATGCAAAATCCTTAAGGTCACCATTTGCTGTCATAGCCATGTATGCTTCTTTGAGTTTGAGTGCACGATTAAGCATATCATAGGTGGAATTCCAACGCGTGCGAACATCCAATGTTAACTTGAGAGGAGGGCATTCCATTGCGATACGTTTGCGTTCAAAAGTGGCTGATCGTTGTGGTCATGATCTATTTTTCCATACATGTTGATGAGAATGCGCACATACCACATACGTTGTAATCATTAACGAGCTTACCTGATCTTCAATATGCCTTTTCTCAGCTTGGCAAGGGTAGTGGTATCACACAGATCATTATCCACATCCATAATATCTTCTGGTGCCTCTGAAGAAAACCCATTCTTGATTATCTCTTGTACTGCAAGATTGATGACATGGCCAACACATGGGATACGTCGAGTTGCCATGAAAGACCTATACTACATGTAAGCATCATAGCCCATAGCTTGTAACGAATACCACATTGCAACATACCATGCATTGTCTTGTAATGAATGTGCTTCAAGCAGGTCAGCCATCTTCTCCATGTTCGATGCATTGTCGGTGGTTATTGTGAACAACTTTGCACCAAGACCAAGGTTATCCAACAAAGTGGTAAAAGCGCTTGCAAGGTTCTCACTTGTATGTGGCCCATCAAGAGGTTCAAATCCCAACATGACTTCTTGCATGGTCCATGTCTTCTCACATATCCAGTAGCCTGTCACTCCAAGAAAAGCCTGATTGAATGGGCTGGTCCAGCAATCCAAGGTGCATGAAATGGCAGGCAAATCATGTAACATGGTCCTAAGCCGATCATAGCATGCATGGTACTCCACAGTGGTCTAAAAGATAAGATACATCAAAACAATATCAGTATATAAGTATAACTGGTACGTTGCATTCCCTAGCGCCTTATTCTATATGTATCTAACATACCTTCCTTGCAAATGTATCAGCGTTTGGAAGTTTGATAGCAGCCATTGTTGGTGCCTTTTGCGCCATCTCCAACAATCGTTGAAGGTGCTTATTTTCAGACGTGGTAAATGGCAGTTTGCCGGACACAAGGAACTTGATGAATTGCTGGTTGAATTCATTTTGGTCGAATGTTCTGGTACGCTTTGCCAGAAATGAATCAAGTGGGCCTCCTCGTTTCTTATCGTGTGCATGAGGCCCAGTGAACTCGGTAATGCCATGCGAGTTGCGAAGGTGCGTGATAAATGTTGTTGTAGTTTTCTTGATACTTGAATACGTCTTGGTACAATTGCCAACTTTGCAACGGATACGCTCCTTGCCTTGTTCAGTCATGTATCGTTCACCATACTTGTAGGCGAAAATCCAGCTGCGTCCTTCTTCACTGGTACTGGCCTGGTCATTGGTATTGGCATCATCCTCTTGTTGCATAGCATTTTGCATACCAGGTGCTTGTGGGCCATCACCATCCTGAGCACCATCATTATCACGATACGTAGGTGCATCCATTGAACCCGAGATCGAAAATTCCATTTCGCTGCCATTTCGATCATCCATGGAATAACTCATTCTTGTTGAATCGTCAGATGTAAACGACAAAGTGGACATAGATGCATTGGTAGGACTTCTGGCAGGAGGTACACGAGCTTGTTCATTACATTCAGGAGTCCGTGAATCATATCGCATTCCATTAGTTAAAGCTTAAGATTCACCAACAACGCGACAATGATAATCATTGTCAACTTACGCCCTCATAGATTGCACCAAGGGGGTTTCGTGAAGAGCTGCCATAAACCATTGGGAATAAACAAACGAGTTGCAAGGGAAAAATATCAGTTGAAAAGTGGAATGGAGGATAATCTCTGGTCTCCAACAGGAGCAATTGAGTACCCTTTTATATCTTTACAAAACATCGCTATTCTCCCACACCTCTGATACAGGATGATTAAACATGAACAAATAGGCATAATAGTGACAGTATCTCTAAAGCATCCTAGGGGCATAATCAGGATGGAAATCGTTCAATTACCGATTACGGTATGTACATCATGCGTATGATTGTAATCATGCATGTCGAAGCGGAGTGACCACATATGTGACAAAGGCCTCCAGTCACCTGCAATCGCCCTTATGACTGATTATGGTGGGAAATGCGAAATGCACAATGAATATCGTCCTTGGTGCATTCATGCAGTCACCTGTCTTTGTGCGTGTGACGAATTACGGTGGGAAACTGTTAATGCTGATAGTAAATAGGCACCCACGTTCAGCAACCAGCATGCAAAGCGAGGGTGATGGGAGCCTCGCATTGAATGGGTATCCACATGTTAATATGTAAGCAACAAAAGCATTTCCCGTAAACATAAACTCGCCAAATCCACACGCAACCCTGCTCCATTGAGTGCTCCATGTGGAAGTAATGAGATGCCCATGGCCCTATGTCAGGTTGCCAATGAGGCCTCATGCCTCATGCATTGCGCGAATGCAATTGCAGCGTGGACATGAAGACATGAATGCTACTTTATTTACACTCGTTTAATGAGAGATAGACACTACCAAGGCTCAACAATCCTCATAACCCACAGTTGCCATGGCTACACGTGACAAATTGTGGTGAACCAGTGATTAAGATCGGTCATTATCACATCTCAGACAAATCATCCAAATGAGACATGTCCACTTGTAAGCCAGCATCTCACATTATTCACCTCTCAATCAACGCTAATCCATGTCAACAACCTGCCATTGGATTAAAACTTTTTCTATAGCCGATGTATAAATACGTAGTTCAGACATTAGATTGATAGGTTGATTCTTTTTGAATATACACACATTCTCAAAGACTTTCTCGTTACATTTGATATACATACATCACATTTTATTCTTTGAATTTTGCAAACAAACACCTATGAACAAACAACAAACATGTCACCCAATCCTATCCAAAAACAAACAACTAAGAAGTCTGAAGGCGAGTTTACCACCAAAGGTAGCAAAGCCAATGACACTCCTAAGCGCGGTGAAGAAGTCGTTAAGGGTCTTGATGATGGAAATGCTGACGCCATGGAAGTCGACTCTGATCCTAAAGATAAGGAGAAGAGCAAGGACGATGATGAGGATAGCTTAAAACAGTATGCTGAATCAGAATCGGACGAAGACATGGTCATGGAAGATCGTGCAAAAGAGTATGAGCCTCTTGGTTCAGAAATTTCTTCGGGCAAGATTGGCCCAAACACGCCTAACTATGTTGTGCGTTCTTATTGTCAGCAAGAAGCTGATAAGTGCGACCGACAGGTGAAGGCCGCTATTGCTGCTGGTGATGATAAGTCTTTCGACGAGTTGTCTAAGCAGAAAGAGAGATGGTTGCTGAAGAAGCAGCATTTTCTTGAAGATGATGGAGTTGGTCCTTCGTCATGCAAGGGCAAGTCTCAAGGCAAGAAGGCTTTGAAAGATATCGTTCACTTGCCTACGTTCAAGAAGGATGTGCCACCTTTGCAGATTCAAGGTGAAACCAAAAAGAGAGACCGCCATGACAAGCGTCATCCGTTGTACGCCTCTGTCGATGATTTTTTCGAGGACTTCGAGACGTACCTTCATGTCAATGAGGTACCCAGGGAAGATCACTGGGAACAGTGTATTTTCTTTACTTGTGCTCCCGGGAAGAGGTCTTGGTTGGCATCCATCATCAAGCGTGCCAAGGATAATACGTACGAGGGTTTCAAGGTGGAACTCAGAACCGATTTATCCAGCCCGTACGCTGAATTGTACCATTTGATGCATATCAGATTTATGCAACAGAAGAAGACCAAGCTGTCTTTGCGCCAATTCGCTTTGGCCATCAACCAATATGCCCAACGGCATCATATTTCGGATGACAAGTCCTTGCTAATGGATTTTGTGTGCAACGTTGCGGATCAATTCCGTAAGCCCATTTGGGATGTTGTCATGAAGTTTCATGAGGGCCACGACCGTTTACCTTCAATGAGTGAGATGGTCAAGCTTGCTGGTACTGTAGAAGATGCCAACAAAATGTCAAGAGCTTCGGATCAGAGCAAACCTTGGGCTGAGGTAGAGAATGATGTTGATGATGATCACTCATACAGTGAATCTGGCAGCGACAATTCTGATGATGAAGAACCCACTCGCAAGCGCAAACGCAACAACAAGAGTAAGGGTAACAAGAAGGCCAATGCTAAAAAGGGCAAAGGCAAAGGAAAGGACAAGGGCAAACAAAAGGCTCTTTATTGTCGAATCCACAAGCAAGGCGATCATGACACTGACCATTGTTTTTCGGTGGTGAAACTCGCCAACTCCAAGCATGGTGTTCAGCAACAGCCCAAACGAGCTAGACTTTGCGACTTCTGCCACGAAGTTCCTTACTTCAAAGGTCACTCGTGTACACCTATGCTTGAATACAACGCCAAGAAGGATGCTGAGGCTAAGCAGCAGCACAAGAAGGTTATGGCAAGATTTGCCGCTCTCAAGTATTTGGGCAAAGAGCACAACGAAATCGATGTCGACGAGCTTATGGGCAGCTCTAGGAAACAATGTAAGAATGACATTTGGGTTAGAGCAACGCAAAAGGAAAAGACTGACGAATGCCTTTTAATCCCTATCATGATACAGAATCTAGAGATCATGGCTTTGCTCGATACGGGATGCACACATTCCCTCGTCAATAAAAATCTTGTTGTCACCAATAACCTTGAGATTACTCCTACCGATGGTTCAATCCATTTAGCAGCAGATGGCTTGACAGTGCCTAGAACAGGCTCCATTAAAGATGTGAATGTCGAGTACTCTGATAAAGAATTTTCTCATTCGTTCGAGGTCATGGAATTACCAGACCCAGAGATCCCTGTATATTTGGGTATGGACATTTTGTCTAAGATGGGAATTGGCTTTACCGGGTTAACAAGTGCGTGGCCTAATATGCGTGGCCTAATATGGTTGCTCCTAGTGCTATGGATAGCACTGTCATCGATCCCGAGCCTTATGAACCTAACAACTCACCAGCAGGCACAAATGAGCAGAGGGATGCTCTCTTTAAAAAGATTGATCCACTCATTTTAGATAACAAAAGAATTCCAAAAACGTCGTTTTGTACTTTGCCGGAATCGGTAATTACCTTGGATACAGGTGATCATCCACCTGTATACAAACGACAATATCCAATTCCTATTGCACTCGAGCCCGTGTTGCAAGAAACGATTGATCAATGGCTAGAGGATGGCACTGTTGAACCAGCAACCATTAACTCTTCATGGAACTCTCCTTTGACCTTTGCACCTAAGAAAGATGCATATGGCAATCATACAGGCAAGAGACCTTGCCTTGATCCACGCCACATTAATTGTTTGATCGCCGATGATAGGCATCCATTGCATCTCATTCGTGACATCTTTCACGGCTTGAATGGTGCTTCGGTCTTTACGACTTTGGATTTAAAGAGTGCTTTTCATCGATAAGATCCATCCAGATGATAGGCATAAAACGACCTTTACGGTCAAGAAACAGCAATACATGTTTAGAGGCTGTCCTTTCGGGTTAAAACCCATTTCCTCCAAATTCCAAGGGGTTATGGACATTGTTTTCAAGCCCATGTCAGATTTTGTGTTGTGCTTTGTTGACGATATTGTCATCTTCTCTGCTACCATGGAAGAGCACATAGAACATGTTGCTCGCGCTATCAAGGCTCTGACGAAAGTCAACCTGATTTTGAATGCTGATAAATGCCACTTTGCCCAAAAGGCAGTGTCCCTGTTAGGTTTTTGTGTGTCTGAAGCCGGCTGTACGTTGGATCCACGCAAATTAACCAACATCCAAAGTTGGCCTATCCCAAAAACAGGCAAGGATATTCAGCGATTCATGGGTGTAGTGAACTACTTTAGAGAGCACGTTCCCAAAATATCCACATTAACTGCTCCTTTGGATGAATTACGCAACGTCGACAAGCTCGATGATGAATGGACAGATGAGCACGCTGATGCTTTTATTGCTATACAAAAGATCTTGACGAACACCCCGATTCTACGCTATCCCAATATGGCGTATCCTTTCTCGATGGCCACTGACGCCTCGAATGTGGGTATCGGTGCGGTGTTGTATCAGGTTATTGATGGTGAAACTCGACACATTTCTTTCATGGCTCGTGCACTGTCGAAATCTGAACGTAACTATTCAACTACGAAACGAGAATTGCTTGCAGTGGTATACGCATTGGAAAAATTCCACACCTACCTGTGGGGCAACCACTTTACCCTCTATACGGATCACAGAGCACTTACCTATTTGCACACCCAAAGAGTTGCTAATGCAATGATGATCGGCTGTGGAATTTGATGTGAAAAACGTGATAACGTTGATAGCAATGATAACAAGGATAAATCCTTTGAGACTCGAAAAAGGGAGAAAGATCTTTATTTGTGCTGTCTGTGCTCCTAAATAAACATTGACAGGGGTCATCTGGGTTGGGTTAGGTTTTACCTATCAAACCCAGACTCCAGAATACCACATTGCCCCCCACCAGAGTGAACGTATGCGAGAGCATATAAAAGATAAACAGCTTGTGTGCATCAGTAGCGCCGTCATAAAAACCCATTCAAAAAAACCCAGTGGGAAAAACTATAGGGAAAAGACCTTGCCAGCACGGTGATAGACATGATTTATGCCGACGAACGCTTAACGCGTTTGCTGCGTCGTTTAGGTTGAGGATTGTGCAACTTACGTTTTGGTACACGTTTCTTGGGGATGAGTGTAGCTGGTGCATCCTCTTCTTGCTCATTGCGTCTTTTCCAATATTGTAAAATGAAATCAGGATCTGTGAATGCATCCGGGTCGAGCCATGAATCCTCGTCTTCCCCGTATCCTTTCCATCTTACAAGGTATTGACGCTTACCAGGTTGTCCTCGATGATTGAGAATTGCTTCCACCTCATATAACTCATCGATAGGAACGACATCATCCTGGGAGATAAGCTTGAGCTCTGAAGGTACATAATTGCGTGACATCAAAGCACCCGTTTCATCCTGCAGCACATAGGTGCCACCTTGTGTCTTACGTAACACGGTGTAAGGACCTTCATAAGCAGGCGCCAACTTACTACCTCGTGATTGCACTCTTACCATGACGTGGCTTTTTTCAGGAAAATCAATGATTTTATGAGTTGCGTCAAACTTCTCTTTCATCGCTTGGTTGTAAACTTCCACTTTCTCCTTCAATGCCGGAAACACAATGTTTTGCATGTGCTCTATCCTTTCTTTCAACGCTTCTTCCGACATTGGTTTTGCCGTCTCGATCTTGTCGCCACGATAGTCACGAAACTCGTTCATGTTGCGTGCGAACATAAGCGTAAAGGGAGGTGTATTCAACCGTTTGGATACTCGCATGTTCAACTCAAGCTGTGTGCTAGGCACGTAATAGTCCCAGTCTCTACCAGCACCTTCGATCTTCTTGCGGATGACGTCTTGTGCAGTTTGGACCCATCTCTCAGCTATGCCGTTGGCACTAGGATGATAAGGTGTAGTAAAACGCTGATGAAAGCCTAGACTTCTTGCTAACTTCCTCATGAATGCGTTCTTGAACTCGCCACCATTATCAGATTGGAGAATACGGGGTATGCCAAAATCACAAAAGATTTGCACAAGAGCTTTGACCAGCGTATCCGAGGATTTGTCAGGTAACGCACGTAGGATACAAAAGCGTGTGCATACGTCAACCAGTACCATCAAGAAGTTGTTACCCGTTAACGAGGAACGATTGAAGGTTGCCAAGTCAATAGCCCAATGGTCACCAGGCAAGTAGGCGTATATGGGACGTAGAGGATTGTAGCCTCTCTTGGCTATGTTAATCTTCTGGCATTGTGGACATTTGCTTACCAACTTTACTGCATCTTGTAGCATGTTGGTCCATGCCAAGCCATCACGTCGTAAGTAACGTACTAAATGTTCACCACCTCCGTGACCAATAATCAAGTGTGCACGTTCAAGTTCATCCATGCGGTGATCATCAGGTGGAGTAACCACATCGCTAGGCTGTTTGTCAATTATTCGTATTTGGAATACAAGTCTATCTTTGCTCGATTTTATCGTACCCATTTTGATTGCATTTGATGGTTGATTATCCCCCTCCAAGAGTTCATCGGGAGTGAACAAACGTGAGAGATCATCTGGCAACACGTTCTCAATACCCGGGATATGGATCACGTCGACAGTGTATTTCAACAAGATATCAAACCAATTGAGCATCATGGGGTTGGCAAGCTTTTGGGTGAACAAATAAGTGAGAGCCTTGTGGTCCGTATAAAGTGTGAATGGGCGTAGCCAAAGAAAAGGGTGGAACTTTTGAAGGGCGTATACCATACCCAAGAGTTCACGTTTAGTGGTGGAGTATTTACGCTCACTGGGGTTCAAAGCACGTGCCATAAAAGAGACATAGCAATTCTTGCCCTTTATCTTTTGAAACAACACAGCGCCAATGCCATAATTCGATGCATCCGTGGCCACATAAAAGGGTTGATCAAAGTCAGGGAAATGTAAAAGTACATTCTTTGCTAAGGCTTGCTTAAGAGCGTTCAATGCTTTCGTTTGCTCCTCAGTCCACAAATCCTTAAGTAAACCGGCATTGCGTAGCCTGTTGAGTGGTGCAGAGATCTCGGCCATATGAGGAATATGGTCACTGAAGTAATTCACAAAGCCCATGAACCGCTGGATATCCTTACCAGTACGAGGTTGGGGCCAATCAATAGCATTTACTACCTTTCTTGGATCAAGAGATATACCATGCTCGGAGACACAAAAACCAAGTAGATACACCGATTGTTGTGCAAAATGACACTTTGCCGGGTTCAAAATGAGGTTGGCTTGTGTAAGAGCCTTGATCGCGTATTGCACGTGTTTGGTGTGTGAAAACAAATCTTTGGAAAAGATAATAATGTCATCCACAAACGTGCGTACAAAAGGCATGTCGTTAAAAACAATATGCATGACTCGTTGAAACTTGGAGGAGATAGGCTTCAAACCGAATGGGCATCCACGGAACATAAATTGTTGTCCCTTGTGCGTAAAAGTGGTGATGTGACGGTCAGCCTCTGCAATCTTAAACCGATGAAAAGCACTGGTAAGATCAAGCGTGGTAAAAACTTTCGCTCCACCCAAGTCATTGAAGATCTCCTTAATGGTAGGAATCGGATAACGATCATCCTTCAAATAACGATTGATGTGTCGTGGGTCCAAACAAAGACGCTTACCCACTTTATTACCATGTGAGTCCTTCTTGTCAGCTAATGTCAATGGGCTGTTCCATGAGGAATTGATACGAGCTCTCACAATGACACCATCATCGAGCCACTTTTGAATCGTAGCATCGATCTCAGGACGTAAAGCATATGGCAAAGTATATTGTCGTTGATAGGATGTGACACCTTGCTGCGTAAGATCCAAGTGAATGACAGATTCAGGTATGTTGCAGAACGACCTTTTAGGAATACGCGTGTTAGCATCCAATAATGGCTTTATAGCCTGTGTGAATTGAGCTTGCTCATCAGGTGTGCCGAAAGGCGAAGCATTGGGAACCAGCTTTTTGTATGCATCGTGCACCGAAGGATCTTGCACGTCATCTTGCTGATCATCCCATTTGACAGCCACACCTTGCAAAGAGATACCCAATTTAGGAAGGATATCAAAGCCCAAAATAAGATTGTATTGTTCCAAATCCATAACTTCAAATCGATGTGTAAATTGCCGGTTGTTGTATTGTAGCTGAAGAGGCTCTGTAATGCCCACACGCTTGACAACATCATTCCTACCAGCATACATGATCTTCCCATCCACAGGTGTATACGACCAATTGTTGGCATCACACAATGTTTTATTGATAACAGAAATCTCTGCGCCAGTATCGACAAGGCCGAGGAGTCGCTTATTCTGTACCAAGATGGGTGTTTTCATGAGATATGGATTGTCATTCAATTGCGCAGCAAACAACAACTTACCTAACGATTGCCTTGCGAGCATTTCATCCACATCTTGTAATTCATTCAATGGGATGGGCGAGAAGGAGTCATTGTTGTTGATTGCTGAATCAGCCGGATGAACGAAGTCGTCAGATAAATCCATGTCATTTGAATCATGCACCATGGTATTTACCTGCACGTTGTTCTCATTACGGCGAGAATTGTGGCGTCTTGGTGGTGGCATCTTGCCCTCAGCACGAAGTTTGGCCTTCTCCACTTTTGAAGCATGGCAAGAGTGACCGTGCTTGTAGGAATGATGTGCATAATGACATTTCGCACCTACAATTGGCTTCTTCAACTTGTCACACCTCTCAGAGACATGGTCACCTTCATCATCGCAATGGATACAAAAAATAGACCCGTCCTTGCCAGCCTGCTTCGAAGCTTTATGCTTCTTATGATGCGAGAAACTGGAGCCAGAGTCTTTGTGCGTGCGTTTCTTCGTAATTGTGATGGAATCAGCAAGCTTAATAACCTCTTCAAGGTTGTCAGGCAAGCGATCCTCATTACCAGGACGAGCATAAAACGACATGAGCACCCTTTCTTGTATATCCTCAGGCAAAGATAAAAGGAACAACATGGCCAACACATCGCAATTGGTCAAGCCGGCATCAATCACCAAGTTTTGGTAACGAGTACCGTAACGTTGGGTTGTCTCGCCATCGCGCATAGCGCACTTGAACACCTCCATTGCTTTGCGTGCCTTGTTGTCACGCGACACAAAACGTGCACGAACTCTCTGGCAAACATCATTCCAATTGAGTTTCTTACCGCTTAAAGTGTCAGCATACCACTTTTCAAGGTCGGCCGGGAAAGCACAATGCAACACCTCATCCCACTCAGTGTCAAAATTGTATTTGTGGGAACGAAACAGCTTCTTCATGCTGAGCAAAAAAGCATCAACATTGGGAAAGACATGCTTGTCCTCAGGAGACTCGTTGACTCCTTTGATCACAAAACGTGGAACAAGATTCATCGTAATGTGCTTACGAGAGCTGGTGGTGGTGTCAGCATCCTTAGGAGTGAGGATAGCAATGTTCTTTCTAGTCCTCTCAATCTCCTTGTGCAAAGCCTCCATTCGCTTCACGATGGTTGCCAACTCATCCTCGGGAACTGGTTCCGTGGTCTCAAGTTGGATTTACTTGATGATCAAGCTCTCCAACTCCTTCTCTTTTTTCTTGAGCGATTGTCGAGAGAGAACAAGGGCGTCAACGTGCTTGGAGGCCAAACCACCAGTGGGTTCAACACCCTCCATGGGGGCAGGGCCATTGTTGTTGTTGGTGGGAGTGTTGACAGGGGTTTCATTGTTGTCACCCACGTGGTTGTTGTTGTTGTTGTTGGCAGTAGCAGCAGGAGAAGCAGCAGGAGAGGCAGCAGGAGACGAAGCAGCAGAAGCAGACATGTTGATGTTGATGATGTTGTTGAAGAGTATTCAAAGGAAAAAATGTGGAATTTGATGTGAAAAACGTGATAACGTTGATAGCAATGATAACAAGGATAAATCCTTTGAGACTCGAAAAAGGGAGAAAGATCTTTATTTGTGCTGTCTGTGCTCCTAAATAAACATTGACAGGGGTCATCTGGGTTGGGTTAGGTTTTACCTATCAAACCCAGACTCCAGAATACGACATCGGCTGGTTGGATCACATTCTCGAGTACAAGTTTGATGTCGTGCATTTGCCAGGCTTGGATAACATCTTGCCTGATCAGCTGTCTCGCCTTTTTCCCACGGCAAAAGAGCTGGAGGGGGGGTGATGATAACGACGACATTGTCGTAAGAGCTGCTAAGGCAAATGATGTCGACGATGACTTCGATGACATGATCGAACCACCAGAAGGAGAGCGCAAAGATTTACTGATAAAGTATCACCTCTTCGGTCACTTAGGTGCAGCTGCAATTGTGAAGGCGTTGCATAGTGACGGTATCCATTGGCCAAATGTCCACAAAGATGCTGTTGAAGTTGTAAAACAATGCAACGAATGCCAAATGTCCAACATTGTGAAAAAAGGGTATCACCCATTGCGTTCCATCCACGCATTCCTACCAGCAGACCACTGGGCAATCGATTGGCAGGACCATTTAGGCCTACACATGACAACAATACATACTTATTAGTCATGGTTGATGTATGCACAAGATATTGCGTACTTAGACCTCTGCCAAATAAGCAGTCTGATACTATTGTCAAAACCTTGATCCAAGTGTTTGGCGACTACGGCTTTCCGAGATACTTGCAATCGGACAATGGCACTGAATTTGTGAATCAGCTTGTAGAGAAATTGGCACAAGCAACTGGCTTTGACCATAGATTGGCAACTCCTTATCACCCATGAGCAAATGGCGTAGCTGAACGTTGGGTGCAAACATCGGTAAGGACTTTGAGAAAACTGATCAAAGGTGCTCTCAAGGACTGGGACTTGTTCGTTCCAGGTGCGCAACTTGCTATCAATGGAAAGATATCAGAAAGGCATGACTCTGCAACCTTTTCCCTCATGTTTGCAAGGAAGATGAATACCTTCGGTGATTATCGAACCGAAACAGATGTGAGAGCAATGACAGAAGAAGAGTTGCAAGAGAGATTGGAAGCAATGGAGAACGTGGTATTTCCAGCAATCAACGAGAAGGTGTTGGCTATGCTAGAAGCAAGAAACAAAGCCTTCAATGATAAGCATTACATCGTTCATTTCCATATCAACAGCCAAGTAGTGGTGATCGTACCAGAGAACGAAAGAAGCAAGCTCGATACTTCACATGACGGTCCATTCACAGTTGTCAGAAAGACGCGAGGTGGTAGTTATGTGTTGAAGAACATCAGAGGCAAACTTCTTGGTAGAGACTACGCACAATCGCAGCTGAAGTTGATATCCCAAGACTACGACTTGCCATGTGACGATATATACGTTGTCGATCGCATTGTCGCTCATGAGAGAGTGGCTCCTGGCAAGTACAAATACTTGGTAAGATGGGAAGGCTATCGTGAAGAGGACGACACTTGGGAACCCGAATCGTCGTTTACAAACGTCCACACCATTCACGATTACTGGAAAAGACTTGGTGAACAACCTGAACCAAAGCCTGAGAACACGCGTAGAAAGAGAAAAAGAAACGCAAAAGGCAAAACGAGTTCTGGGTCAAATGACGCACCTCGCAAAAACCGCTCACGCAAAAGACAACGGAACAGCAATCCGAAACAACCCGTGCGTAAATCACTCCGCCTCCGATAAGTGTTACATTTCCCCACACATTCTCACACTCTCTCTTTTCTCCCCTTTTTCACTTACACATACTACTTCTTCGCGTTATAGTGAACCTGGAGGAGGGTGATGTGGTGAACGAGTGATTAAGATCGGTCATTATCACATCTCCGACAAATCATCCAAATGAGACATGTCCACTTGTAAGCCAGCATCTCACATTATTCACCTCACAATCAACGCTAACCCATGTCAACAACCTGCCATTGGATTAAAACTTTTTCTATAGCCGATGTATAAATACGTAGTTCAGACATTAGATTGATAGGTTGATTCTGTGGTGTCCAGTGATAAATCGGGAACGACTACATCCAAAAAAGGAACATGTTTTGTTACGCCAACCATTATGAAAAGTATAAAAGACCACCATAATCTCCATGAATAAAGGCATCAATCATATAACGGTCTCACCGTATCTTTATTGTTATCAATCTTTACATATATTCATATACGTCACATTTTTTTACGGTGAATACCTGCGATGCCAGAAGAAGATAGGAACTCACGAAGCCCGCAACCTGAAGATGACTCACGTGGAAGTCCGGTCCAAGAGTTGGAGCGTCTGTCGATCCATGGGAGAAAATCGGACAATAATAAGGATGCCAATGAAGCTGAAGCAAATACGCATGATGCTAGAGCAACCAGTCCACTATCTCCGGAAAGACTCGCCATCAATACGGTCGAGGATTTGAAACGTGCTTGTTGTATAAAGGAACAAGAATTCAACATTGCCGTACAAGAGAAAGGTGAAGAGGATCAAGAGACAGCGCTGGAGAAGCTTACAGCTGCACAAGAACGCGTTGACAAGTACCGTGGAATTTGCAAGAAAAGATACCCAACACGCCTAGAGCTTTACACATGGGATGAAATTGAACAGCGTAACAGGCAATACAACATGGCATGCCGCTCCATGGAAGGATCAAGTAAAGAAGACCATTACGTACCTAAGGACCTACCAGTTTTACAAGTCGTTGGATCCGATAAATGGCACCCTAATAAAGCCGTTCACTTGTCTGCTGAGATGTTTCTTCGTGCTTTCACAAAAGAGCTCAAATCATGTGGTCTTGATGTAAAAAAGCATTGGAGCCGTCTAGCGCCAAAGTGTCTGAACGATGCACAAAATCTCTGGTTGGATGGTATCTTGAATGAGGATGAACAATGCACATGACAAGAAATTCGCACCCAGCTTGTACAAAAATATGACACACCTGAGCAGCAATTGCGAGGCAAGGAGGCATGCGTACACATGAAGCAAAAGAAGGGTGAAAAGATTGCGACATACGTGCGTCGATTCTACCAAAGGTGCATTGAAGCCGAGTTTGACCAATTTGATCAAGTCATGATCGTGATCTTGCTTTGTTCCTTGGACACGAAAACACAAGCTCAAAACCTATGCAACGTCAAGTTTGGCCCAAATTACCTGAAGACACAAAAACTTGAAGCAATTGTGGAATACTTGGCTGGTTTACAATTGAACGACTCTGATGCTGAAAAGAGACCACGGGATGATGAAGACGTTGAAATGCAACCCGCAAAGCGTACATCACGCTCCATCCATCAAGTTAAAGACAAGACGAATTTCAAGCATATAAAACCTTGTGACTTTTGTGGCCGCCCTCGTGCGAACAGCAACCATCGTTGCAATGAGTTCAGAGAGGCCAAAGGCTTGGCTCCACTCCCGGATCTGCCACCAGCCAAGAAGGTCAATAGAACTGCCACCATTGTTGATCATGATGACATTGATGATTCCCTACCTTGTAAGTCGGCAATAACAAGCCATGACATTAAGGATGAGTTGCTGATACCTGTAACGATAGAGGGCCAAAGGATCCACGCACTACTAGATGATGGTGCCAATTTCTCGGCTGTCGATAGTTCGTTCTGTCAAAAGCATAAAATAAAGTATTCACATGTAAAGGGATTTATTCAATTAGCAGCGGCTGATAAACAAGTGCGTCGTATTGGACTTACGCGTCCTTTGGATATCTGGTATAACGGTCGTCACATAAAGCGCCAGTTGGAAGTGATGAATCTCGCCAATGGAAAGGTTGCTAGCATTGGTAAAAATCTCTTTGCTGATTTAGGCATCGGCTATACTGGATTGGCATTTACTTGGAAAGACGCGATGGAGGAAGAAATTGAAAAAGAAGTGAATGATGAGCCAATCCCAAATGAAGCACCTGCTGGAACGAAAGAGGAGCAAGAAATTTTTAGGGAGCTCATAGAGCCTAGCTTAAAGAGGAATAGCCAAATCCCCAAGGATGCATTGTGTCCTTTTCCGGAGGCTGTTATTTCCATCCCTACCCCTGAAAACGTTGTCTGCTATCGTAGACAATATACTATTGCTTACGAACAACGGCCTATTGTGCAGGAAGCCATCAATAAATGGTTGACTGAGGGCACCATAACCGAGGTACCAGCGGATGCTGATAACCGATGGAATAGCCCTTTAACGTTGGCCCCTAAAAAAGATTCACAAGGTAAAATGATAGGGCATCGTCCTTGCTTAGATCCTCGACTCATAAATGAGCACCTTACCGATGATAAGCATCGCATTCCTTTAATCACGGAAATCTTTGACCAACTCGCTGGCTCCAAAGTGTACACCACACTCGACTTGGCTAGTGCGTTTCATCGTTTTCCCATAAAACCGGAAGACCGTCATAAGACTGCTTTTACAGCACCTGACGGCATGCGTTACATGTTTAAAGGTTGCCCTTTTGGTTTGAAGCCCATTTCATCCAAATTTCAAAGGGTCATGGACAAGCTATTCAGAGACCTGCCATATGTCACCACCTTTGTTGATGATATCATTGTCTTTTCCAAGTCTAAGCGAGACCATGTACAACACGTTACGATTGTTATTGATCGTCTCACTGAGGCTAACCTCATACTGCAACTCAAAAAATGATTCTTTATGCAGCGATGCGTGTACTTACTTGGTTTTTGCATTGATCAACATGGCCATAAGCCCGATCGGCGTAAAGTCGTCAATGCCCAATCATGGCCTATGCCACATACTGCTAGAGACATCCAAGCTTACATTGGCTTCATGAATTATTTTCGCAACCATATACCATACATGACGGACATAACCAAACCCTTGGATGAGTTACGCAATGCTACCAATATACCTCAACAGTGGAACACCAAACACCAGAAGGCCTTTGAGAAGCTTAAATACGCACTCCTCCATGCACCAATCTTGAGTTACCCCAACATGTCCAAGCGTTTCCATGTGGCTACTGATGCCTCCAACGTGGGTATTGCAGCGGTCCTCTACCAAAAATACGACAACAAGAAGCACATCGTTTCTTTCATGGCAAGGGCCCTCACCAAGTCCGAACGCAATTACATGATCACCAAAAAGGAGCTTTTGGCCATCATCTTTGCCTTGAAGAAGTTTCACAAATATTTATAGGGCAATCCTTTCACGCTGTATACCGATCACAAGGCCCTAACCTACTTACACCAACAAAAGGAATTGAATTCCATGCTGAGTAACTGGTTCACCACCCTATACAACTACCAATTTGACATCGTGCACATTGCTGGCAAATTAAACGGTATGAGTGATGCACTCTCACGTCTTTTCCATAGTGGAATCGACTCGGAGGGGGCAATGGGGAACAATGAGCCTATACAAAATCATGGCAATAAAGACCCATCTCACGTAAACCGAGACGCACAATTGATCGAAGAAAATACCTTGACACCACCAGAAAATGAAAGGCCTAGCATATTGGATAAGGCACACCTGCTAGGACACCTAGGTGCTAACGCCATAGTCCAAGCTATACATAACAATGGGATGCATTGGCCAAACCTTAAGCAAGATGCTATTGACTTCGTGATGGCATGCCCACCATGCCAAAAGTTCAATATTGCTCAAAGAGGCTACAACCCATTGAGAACTATTTCAGCGGAAATGCCAGGTGATCACTGGGCCTTAGATCTGGCAAACTATGAAACGTCGTCATCAGGCAATAAAAACCTCTTGGTATTGGTGGACATGTGCACAAGATTTTGTATACTACGTCCCATACCCAATAAAGAGGCCGAAACCATTGTCAAGACGTTAGTGCAGGTATTTTGTTACTTCGGCTTACCACGCATAATTCAATCAGATAATGGCAAAGAATTTGTCAATAACTTGATGAAGCGTTTTGCACGAGCATCGGGGTTTGAACACCGTTTGGTCGTACCTTACCATCCCAAAGCCAATGGCACTGCTGAAAGATGGGTTCAAAAGGCCACACTATCCATCAAGAAGATGCTTAACGGCGCCACATTTGAATGGGATCATTACGTACCGGCAGTGCAACTTGCATTGAATGCAAATGTCACGTCACGACACAAGACACCTCCTTTCACTCTCATGTTCGCAAGAAAATTAAATGACTTCAAGGATTATCGAGATGAAGCAGAAGCTAAGCCAATGACAGAAGAGATGCTCAAGAAACGTATCGATGAAATGAGAGACATCGTATTTCCGGCAATCCATGAACGAGTAAAAACAGTAACCAAGCAACAAGAATTACGGTTCAACAAGACTCATAAAATCGTCGAGTATAAGATCGGTGACTTTGTCATGGCAAGGGAACCTGAATCAACAGGCAAATTCAACCCAACCTACAAAGGACCATACAAGATCATAAACAAAACTGAAACATCCTATGTTTTACAAGATTGTGAGGGGTGCGTTCTACCACGAAACTATGCACCAGAACATTTGAAGCTAGTACGGGTCCTAGAGGATATTCCCGCCGATGAAATATACGAGCTTGATAATATCGTTGATCATAAGGTGCATAAAGGTAACTTCCTATACCGTGTCCGATGGCTGGGATATACGGAAGAAGATGATACCTGGGAACCTCCAGAAAACTTTGGCGATCCTATGACAATCACCAAGTATTGGAAGAGGATTAGGAGTGATCCACAGCAAGTCCTTGCACAACGTAAGAAGAGAGGATCCAAGCGTGTAGCGCAAGACAATAAACATGGAAAGCACAAGAGGTACCGATATAACACAAGGACTCGAAGCAAACAATAAGCTTCTCTACCGGCTACAAGGCCTGGAGGGGGCAAATGTGGTGTCCAGTGATAAATCGGGGACGACTACATCCAAAAAAGGAACATGTTTTCTTAAGCCAACCATTATGAAAAGTATAAAAGACCACCATAATCTCCATGAATAAAGGCATCAATCATATAACGGTCTCACCGTATCTTTATTGTTATCAATCTTTACATATATTCATATACGTCACAGATTCGTTTTGAATATACACGCATTCTCAAGACTTTCTCGTTACATTTGATATACATACATCACACAAATAAACCATCGTTTACCGAGCGACATCGTGACCACCTACTACCCAGCAGCTATCGGCAGGATGTTGTGTAACCCAGCAGATCATCTATGAAGCCTCGATTCGATTTTTCGATTTTTCGATTCGATTCGATTCGATTCCCACATTTTGAATAATCGCACGATTACACCAAAAACTCGAATCGAAATAATCGTGAGGACCGCTAGGTACAGGTATGGGTTTTGCAAAGGTGGTACGTGCATGTGGCTTCTTCCTTCTAAGTTGGCAAGTGCGGCAGGTTTTGACAATCTCCTTGACCTTGGATGATAACTTGGGTGCTGTGTATTGCAACTTCACCTTTGCCAATGTGTTGCGATAACCGAAATGACCTTCTGCATGGACCTTGGCTACCAGCTCGTCAACGTTGCCTTCGTGTAGTAATTCAGGACCAAGTTCACCTTCAACCCCAGTCTTACGAAAGATGCTCCCATGGTATGCCTTGTATTTGCGCGCTTGATCACGAATACGCCTTTTATCCGATTCAGTTGCTTCGCGTGGATATTGTTTGCTGTCAAGGTAATAATACAAGGCGAGAAACTTGGGATACTCCATATGACTTGAGGCAGTGGTGAACAAGTTGCAATTGATAAGGACACAAGTTTAACAAGAGTACGTGACTGATTGATTCACAAGGATGATAAAGATAAGTGAAGGAATAAGGATGAAAAAATTGATTGAAGATTGGATAATGTTTATTGTACTCATACTACTGTTCTTATATAGATGTCATAAATCAGATATTGATACACGTGTTAGGCTCGAGATGGGATCAGATAAAAAAAAAGGAATGGAGATATCAGATGTAATACAAGGTGAGAATCAGATGGGTGATGTTATGGGAAATCAGGAGGGTGAACTAATCTCGATAACGCATCAGCAGGGTTAAGACGACCAGGGTGATGTTCAACTTCAAAGTCGTACTCCATCAATGCAGCTGACCAACATTGTAACTTTGGTGATGGGCGATTGAGATTCGAGAATACATAAGTCAATGCAGCATTGTCTGTTCGCAAAATGAAATGTCGACCCGCCAAATAATGCCGAAACTTATGTACAGCCCACACCACAGCAAGTGCTTCTTGATGAACAGCTGAGTACCGAAGCTCTGGACCTCGAAGGATGCGACTCTCATAGGCAATGACGGTCTCCTTATCCGATGTACCTTGAGGTGATTGCGAAAGAACCGCTCCTAAGGCAATTCCAGATGCATCCGTGGTCAATATTTGGACTTGTTGTTGATCCGGAAAGGCCAAAAGTGGAGGAGAGGTAAGAGCGATCTTGATAGCATAGAAAGCAGCATCCTGTTCTTGATTCCATTCAAAAGGATTGTCCTTGCGTAATAAGCGAATAATGGGTGCAGCCGTCTCTGCAAATTCGGGAACGAAACGCTTGTAATAATTGGCCATGCCCAAAAATGATCGAACGCCTTCAATGTTGGTAGGGATAGCCATGTCTTCTAGCTTCTTGGTGTTGTGGGGTGATGGCAATAAACGTTGATCCGATACCACATGACCTAGGTATTCCACCGAACGACGAGCAAACTTGCACTTCTTATGCTTCAGGCGTAGATTGGCCGATCGACAAGTTGCAAAAACCATCTCCAAGTGCTCCAAATGTGCCTCATAGCTCCTTGAAAAGATAATGATGTCGGCAATAAAGACGTACACGAATAAACCAATATAAGGCGCCAATACAGGTCTTCTCAGTCAAAGCTGAACTGAAAAGTTTTATTTTGGCGTTGAAGTTGATGAAAGTTGGTGTTGAAGATTAAAAAAGTTGGTTTACAAGATGATGAAAGTTGGCGATGAGAACGATTAATGTTGGCATTGAAGGTGATTAATGTTGGTGCTTGAGCATTTTAAGTTGGCATGTGGGATGGTAAATTTGGTAGGGGAGCTGAGAAAAGTTGGCGCTGGAGCGGATAATCATGGTCGCGGAGACGAATAATGTCGGCGCTGAAATGATAATGTTGGTGGCCAACATGGTTAACATAAAGTGAGCTGCATGGGTACGCAACATGTATGCATATGCAAGTGAGTATTTTATTTGGAACGAGTTACTGTACGGCTAGGGGAGAAAAGACTCTATCAATGCATACGAATCGACAACGAAGCGGAGAGCCATTTGCACAAAGAAAAGGCGACAGCAGCAAGAAGCAATTCTTTCAGCTACTTTGTTCAACCCAGCACTGTCATCGCGAACCTTTTCTCAGCAATGCTATGAGACAGCATACATCAATCAGCAAGGCATACGTAATGTTGGCCAGCAGCGAAGTGTGTGAAGGCATCAGTACTTTTTCCAATAGCTTTCTTTTTACCTTATGAGAGCATTCCCAGCAGTCCTGCTAGCACTTTGTTAAATTGACTAGCCGCCAAATTTAGCAGAGTGCTCCAGAGGACCTGTTTTCCCAGCAGTACTGTTAAACTAGAGAAGATGTCGTACATAGCACATGTATAATAAAAAACTCCTACCCGCTTGTGGAATGCCATTTACTCCAAGCAAGATGACCTATAGCAGTGATGATGAACTTGACATGTTGCTCATTGTGATAGCACAAGAGTCGCGAGCTCGCGCCGGACGGTTCAAACGCTTAAGAGCTTTATTACAAGATGCACAAGAAGAAGAGCCTCGTCGCAAAGGTGGTTCGGTGTAGTGTTGCTCATCCGATCCGGATACGGTAAACCTGATCCGAATCCGATCCAGAATTTCGGTTGTGGATTTGCCATTTTGATATACGACCGGGTTTGGGCCCAATCCGCGGATATCCGGTATCCGATAGCTTCCTATGCGGACATGATAAATAGTACCTGAATAGATGAATAAACAACATGAGATAAGAGGAAACCTATTTATTGATATGTTATTTGTCCATCCCTGCTAGAAGCACACCACCAGAGAGGTGTTTTTCAAGAGCAAAGTATTATATACCGCCTAGTCGCAATTGCCTTAACGACAAGAATCTTTCCATGTCCATCTTGCTCGATTCATACTTTTAAGCATCTAAATAATACATAATGGCTCAACAGTTCAGCATGCTTGTTGTAGCACAATCATCCATCTTTAATACACATCATTGCCTTTGTAACATATCGGAAGTTGAACTCGTTCAGTTTTATCTTTTGTATGCAATCTAGATGCTTTTAGATCATAGTATGTGCATGCCATATAGCAACGTAGATGTAATATTATGGTGATGTGTATGATTAGGACACGAGTGTATACGATTACAACACGAGAATATACGACTAGGACATGAGAATATACGACTAGAACACGAGAATATACGACTAGGACACGAGAGTGCATACCAGCAGTTGTAGTTTGTGTGCTCGCACACAGCCTATGTTACACATGAAGGGCCACGACCCGTGATACGGTTGCAATCCGGCCCCGAACCGAAGCTGCAAGTGACCCGATCCGATCTGCCAGGTCCCGATTGAAAAATACTTACCCGACTAAAATCGGATCGGTTGCGGATACATGGCTAATCCGACCCTATCTGTACTTTGAGCATCGCTAGTTCGGTGAAACGAAGAAAGGTTATTGAGCGTGGTCGTATCAGTGGGGCTATCCAGCTATTCAATGATTATTTCGCACCGAATCCCGTCTTCGATGAAGGGATCTTCAGAAGACGTTTTCGTATGAGTCGGCGTTTGTTTGATCGCATCCACGACGGCGTTTTAGCCCATGACGATTATTTCAAGCAGAAGTATAATGCTGCTCGTATTCCCGGTCTATCGCCATATCAGAAGATGACCAGTGCAATGCGTCAGCTAGCGTATGGAATGCCTGCCGATATGGTTGACGAGTATCTTCGCATTGGAGAAAGCACCTCAATTGACTGCCTCAAAAATTTCTGTATTGCCATCATCGATGTATTTGGCGAAGAGTATTTGCGGACACCCAATGAAGAAGATATCCGTAGGATAACAGCAGTGAATGAAAGAAGAGGGTTTCCAGGCATGTTAGGTTCTCTTGACTGTATGCATTGGACGTGGAAGAACTGCCCTGCGGCAATGCATGGCCAATTCAAGGGAAAGGACGGTGTCCCAACAGTCATTCTAGAAGCTGTTGCTTCGTAAGACTTGTGGATTTGGCATGCTATCTTTGGCTTACCTGGTACCCTCAATGACATCAATGTTCTTGAGCGTTCTCCACTGTTTCATGGATATCTAAAAGGGCAAACTCCACCTGTGAATTTCACGGTTAATGGACATGAATACCACATGGGATACTATCTCACTGATGGTATATATCCAGCATGGGCATCTTTTGTTAAATCAATCAAAGACCCCGTTGGGCCGAAAAAAAAGGTAGATCATGGTAACCAAATCCACTTGACAAAGTCTTAATAACCTTCAATAATACTTAGCTATTTGCAAAGAAACAAGAAGCCGTGCGAAAGGATGTTGAGCGTGCATTTGGTGTACTTCAAGCACGTTTTGCCACTATACGACTCGAAGCAAAGCTGTGGAAACGCAAAGACCTTAATGCAATCATGAAGGCATGTATCATCATGCACAATATGATCATTGAAGATGAAAGAGTACCGGAGGATGATTTTGTGGATCGTGGTGATCATATATCGCAGCCAACTACTGAATATGAGTATGTTGAAGTCCGTGAACCAGACACTAGTGTATCGCATCAATCCATCGACTCTTTGAAGGCGTTCCTTCAGCGTCGATACAACTTAAGAAACAGAGAGGGTCATTTTCAATTACAGCACGATCTCATAGAACAAACATGGTCTCAACATGGCGACAATGAATAAAACATCTTGCTCGTTTATTCGATACCCATTTTACGCAAAACTTCTTGCTTCAAATGCTGGAAATACTTACGTTGACCCTCGTCCATAGTAGAGAGATCCATCGACATGATCTTCATATCCCTCGCTCTCTCTTCGTCCTCTCTGACCTTCATGTCATGCTCAAGCGACAGCGCACGAGTCTTTGCGATGTTCTTGAGAGATTCAGTACACTCTTCGTCCAAAGCAAGAGCCTTTCTCTCGAGCTCAATAGCCTCTTCTTGATAGGCGTTGGCTGCTCTTTGTTCGCGACGCTGTTGCTTGGCCCTCTTACGACCAATTGGACGTTCTTCCTCTTCCTCAACCTCATCTTCATCGTGGTCGCTTACACGTCTGGACCTCTTGTTCTTTTTCTTCTGCTCCTTTTCCTTCTCCTTCTCCATGTGCTCAGCCCACTTGGGCAGATCGCGTAGGATAACCCAACAATGATGATAAATGAACTTATGACCTTGCTCAGCTCTGAAGGCTTGTTCAGCGGCTTTAATCTGGAAATACACAGTGCATTGAGTAAAGTATTCGCCATGTATGTTTTAAAGCACTTACCCTCAAAGCATCATCTTTGTCACCACTCTGGCATACGGCATCCTGATAACAAGCAACAAACTTAGATACCTTCTTCGAGAGATATTGCCAGCGAGATGGCAATCTGATACGGTCGGTTGAATGAAAAGATAGGGGACCACATTTCTACGCACTGCAAAAAGTTGTGAATGTCGCTTGTTCTTCATAAAACCTTACCCATATATACATTCGTCGGAGCTCTGTAACTATTTACACTCAACCTTCCGACGCTGATAGATCATGCCATAGCAAAGTTAGAAAGATCAAACCAAACATGGAGGACGTTGAGATGTCTGCAAGTGACGTGCAAATATTAAGGTTACACATGCGTGCTTTTCTGGGAAATAAATTAGCATGAAAGTTAGTTGATTTTAGTGAAAAATAATCTTCAACTTTAACAGCTTGTGTATCCTGCACGTGACCCATCCAATTGCTATCTACCCAGCGGCCATAATCTGTGGGATCGCCCCTATTGGATTGCAAAATCTGAAAACGTCACGTGCAATATGGCGTGTGTTACAAGCCGTTAAAGTAGGCAACTTCAGACATGGTACATTGTCAAAGTTAACTTTGAGCCCAGATTCTGACATTGTTTTTTATGTGACTATCATGCGCTCCCATACACTTTTTTGCATGATGTGGTGTGGAGAATCCGAATATGGCATAAAAATCGGTGTTTAAAATTTTTCATAAATTTTTCTTCTGAAAATGACAAAACATAGGCAAAAAACATTATAGTGCTGGTTTGCATTATGTCCATTAATTAAGATTTGGTAAATTTTACTCATAGTTTTGTATGAAGCACACGAATATTGTAGTACAGTAGAACAAGCCACACATGCGATTTACTAGGACAAACAGCCATTTTTACTGTGACAAGTCATACTAATGCATAGATTTTATATAGTAGCGAAGCCTTATTGCTGAAGCAAATTGATGAGTATGCTTAAAAACATTAGAAACGTTGTGTAACAGTACAAAGAGCATCATGCACGTGGTCAGTGGTATCATTGTGGTGCCATTAGATGAGCTAAGAATGATAAACCCAGTATAATATAAGTAGTTGACACAGTATTTATGGAACATGTAACTTTAAAAATTAAAGTTGACTCGGGAACCTCACTCGGGATTCCTGTACCCAAAGAGCACCAATCAGCGTCCAGAGAAATCGCGCAATCGATGCAGTAGATGAGATCATCAATATTGAAAAAGCATATATATATGGTGTGTCTACCTCAATTCCCCATCTCATCGTCCATTCTTCTGGAGTATTACCTTCATCTTACGTTACCAAATACATACTATGTCTGCCCACAGTACCTTGCCTTCCTTGCTTGAGCTTGCTGCACTTACACCGAACGTTCAAGTTACTATTAGGTATATCTGTAGTTGCATTACCCTATTAGAAGAGCATCTTCTAATAGTATACTTGGTTAGTTACTTGAAGGAACATGGTTTTTTCTATGAGACCATGTCATGTGTGCATGGCACGACTATGACTTTGAACAATTTTACTCGCGATGGCCTTATGTGGCAATGCCCATCAGCAGCTTGTGGTTGTCGCCCTGGCAAAGGCTCCCGGGAGAGACGTGCTTTGAAATCGGGATCTTTTTTTTCGAATCGCAATCTGGGTGTTCATTTGGCACTTCAAGGTCTCTGGGGGTTATTGCATGGAATGTCGCAACAAACCATTACATCCATGCTCCGCACTAGTCGCATTACAGTTCGTCGACTTGCAAGGGATTACCATTTGCTTCTAGAGGCCGACCTTACTCGTGAGGACATGCATGTTGGTAAGTTTCAGGATCATTGTTGCATGCGTTTCATTATATAAGTGGCTAAGCATGTTCATAGGAGGATATACTGAAACAGGAGAGCGCATCATTGTCCAAATCGATGAGAGCAAGTTTGGAAAGCGAAAGGATAACCGTGGGCATCCAGTCGAAGGTGTTTGGGTGCTAGGTGGTGTAGAATTGACACCACAAAGAAAGATATTCCTTGCTGTTGTTCCACGCCGTGATGCTGAAACGTTAACACAAGTCATCTGTCATTTCATCAAGCCGGGTAGTTTAATCCATTCCGATGGTTGGAGTGCTTACTCTGGCCTTCGGGATACAGAAGGGATGTATTGGGTACACCAAGCAGTAAACCATCGTATCGAGTTTGTGACAGAAGAAGGTGTGCACACAAACAATATTGAAGGTACCATATACTATTGATCTTCATGGCAGCAATTGGCGTATGCTAATCATGAGTCATATATAGGCACTTGGGCTGGAATTAAGCGTGGTATCACGGAGCGCCAGCGGACAAAACAAATGACCCCATGGAAGCTTATTGAATTTATTTGGCGTCGCAAACATAGTGAGGATTGGTGGGGTGGATTATTGAGTTCCCTACGTGATGTTGCATTTGAAACCATTGATGATGGTCGTGAGGAAGGCGAACTATCCCATGGACGTGATCAGATTAGAATGCCAATGCCACGATTTACTGATTTCAGCTACTTTCAAGATGGTAAGTTTAATGGAAAAGGAGGATAGGATTAATTTTCTGATCACTATATCGTCATAGCAGACTCTTCGACCATTCCTCAACGTAGGCCAAGGTCGCCTTCCCTTAATGAAGATGATATCGAGTTTAGTGAGGATGAAGATTCTACCAGTAGCTCAGAAGTTCCATCTGATGATAGTGATGATAGTGATTATAGTGAAAGTGCATAAATATAGGCTTTATTGGTTTGAAAGATTACTACTAGTTTCCTTCACCTCTACTGCTACTGAATGTGTGATATTATACAATGAATAATGTACTCCACTTAATTTAGTTATGGTCCTAATATAGGCCTGTTATTAAATTCTAGTCAAACTATGTTCAGGTCTAGTAAGTCTTTTGACTGGACCAGTAAGTAGATAAGTAAGTAGCATAACTAGCTCTAAGGATCCGGGTAAATATTCATCCACAAAAATGTGGCTGGTAATTATTGCACGTGATAGTACGCGACAAATGAGCATAGAAAGGCTTAGTATGGAAATGGCAAGTCACATAGTAAAATCAGCAGCAAATCGCGATTGAAAGTGCAGACTTGAGTGTAAATACAGTGACCCACAAAATTGTTCAAATATTTTGTACTTTTGCATAAATCGTTTCCTGGCGCATTGCCATGCATATAGAACATAGTGATATTATACATCATTCGATAGCGTATCTAATTGGGCACATAATGCAATTCACGTGATGTGTGGAACATTGAAATTCATGCAGCTAGCGGGGAATCAATAGCGTCGATACACTTGAACAATTTTGAGGGTACTTCACCAATATTACATAAATGAACATCTACAACATGTGGAGCCTTTATTCTTTATAATGTTATTGATAAGCCACTAATAAAAGTTTTTACTGCCTTGAGCATGGCCTAGGCCCTTTTCCCTTCGACTTCACTTATAAGTAACTTTTATTATGCGTCCAATCAGTAACCAGAAGAAAGAGGATGTGAAACATCTTCTACAACAAGGTACACCATACCGCGAAATCTCTACACTCACTGGTGTCTCCCTTGGAGCTATTCGAGCTATTCGAAAGGACCTGAATGTCGACATTGAACCTAATGGAGCTGGTCGAAAGCGCATAATGTCAAGCAATGACATTCGTGTTGTCATTCGGAAACTCGTAACTGGCGAATACAAGAGTGTTGATTACGCAAGCCGTCAGCTCCGAGCTACCTACCCCAACAAGGTGACCCCAAGTGCTGAAACGATTCGTCGTGAAATGAAGCGTCTCAATTACACCGCAATTAAGAAGCCCAATGTGTTGCCATTGACCCGATCGCGTCGCAATGCACGATTCCGGTTCGCGCAAGCATATCGTTCTTGGACTGTAGAGGACTGGAAACGTGTTGTTTTCAGCGACGAGACAAAAGTGAACCGTTTGGGAAGTGATGGCCTTCATTGGACTTTGATTGATCCTGATGGCAAATTACGTGAACGCAATGTTATCCATACATATAAGCATGGTGGCGGAAGCATCATGATCTGGGGCTGTTTTTGTTGGTCAGGGCCCGGGTTTATCACCAAAATTCAAGGAACCATGAATGCCGACCTCTATTGCAGCATTTTGGATGATGAATTCAAGCAATCATTGGAATATTACGGCCTTGAAGTGAATGACATCATCTTTCAGCAAGATAATGATCCTAAGCACAAGTCCCGGAAAGCCACCCAATGGTTCCAGGATAATGGTGTTGAGGTCCTACCATGGCCATCGTACTCTCCAGACCTCAATCCTATCGAACATATGTGGGCAGAGCTCAAACGCAAGTTGCTTCTCTATGATGAGCCTGCTAAGTCCATGACCGAGTTCTGGGAAAGGGTTTCCTATACCTGGAACAAGTGTATGACGAAGGGATACTGTGAGAGACTCATAGAAAGCATGCCACGACGTATAGAAGCCTGTTATAAAGCAAGAGGAGGCTATACTAAGTATTAATAAAACATGTTCTAGTTCCCCTCAAAATTGTTCAAGTGTATCGACTCTATTGATTCCCCGCTAGCTGCATGAATTTCAATGTTGCACACATCACGTGAATTGCATTGTGTGCCCAATTAGATACGCTATCGAATGATGTATAACATCACTATGTTCTAAATGCATCGCAATGCGCCAGGAAACGATTTATGCAAAAGTACAAAACATTTGAACAATTTTGTGGGTCACTGTAATATACCCAGTATCGCTTTCCATATTATCCTTTGACTATGATATACCTAGTGCACACGAATCTTTTTATTTACCAAAGTCTTTGTATGACAACAAAGGTGCTAGTATATACAATGTGCTGTTGCGTGGATACAATAAACCTTCAGGGCAAGCTTGGTATAATAAACAAGGAGATTCATGACGACACGGCGATGGAGAAGCTAATGGAAGCGTTCACGATTGGCATTGAGACGACTGAAGGTGGTGAAAAAGAGCGAGTGGGTGTATTGTGTGAATAACAGGGTGTGTGTGGTATCAAGTAAGCGTGTGCTGTAATAGAGTGAACAAGCAGTTGGCACCCCATTACATTGCCATGGAGCCAAAACGTACCGGATCAACTTAATTGTGGGCTTGACATGATGGCAAGAAGTAGGTGAATTGCACGGAGGTTGTCGATTGGCAGAACACGGTCGAGATGGGCACGTTGAAAAGAGGAATGGAGAAGAGAAAATAAGCTGGAGACTGAAAAGGCGGACAATTTTCAAAGTTGAAAATCGGGGCGATATAACGGGGTTGACCTTCTGCCTCTTTGCTTGCTTCAAAACACGCACCTTCCTCATCCCGGCAACCTTCAAGCACACCTTGCTGGCATTTTGGCGAACCTTTTGACTATGGTCACTTGGCTGTTTGCAAGGCCTCTAAGGGCAAGGGCAAGGCAACTGGTGAGCGTGTGGTTCGTGCATTGGGTCCTGCTTCAAAGAGTAAGGATAGCAAACCTGCTCCTGCCGCATCCGAATCGGGTGGCTCTGACGATGACATGGACATCGACCAGAAGGCTCAAGGTAAGCAGCTAATTCATACACAACATGATGATCCCAATACAATTTACTTACCAATCCTCTTGCAGAATGATCACAAGATTAGTGGTATCCTTGATATAGGCGCAACTATTAGTACGCTTTCCGCACTTGTTTGCAATAAAATTGGTTGTTCAGTAAATTTGCCGTCTGTTCATGTAAAGGCTGTTGGGAAGAATAATTATGTTAACGTACAAGGTGAAACTGAACCCCTTGTCATCCGCTGTAACAAACATACCATCAGGCATACCTTCGCTGTTGTTGATACTGAAGAGCCGATGCTTGTTGGCAGTGACTTGTATAGCAAACTTGGCATTTACATTGGAGGACTACCATATTCTTTTGATGAGAACAATGACTCCGATATCGAGGAAGAGATTGGCTACATTGACGTACCCAATGACTCACCTGCTAGTAACAGCTTAGAGCGTGCTCTTCTTGAACGCACCTTGAAACCGCTCATTGAGGCTAATCAGCAAATTCCTAAGAACGCCTTTTGCACCGTACCTGAATCAAAGATTTCACTTGACACCATCGATGATGTTACCGAACGTGTTAAGGGTTGAATGAAAAGATAGGGGACCACATTTCTACGCACTGCAAAAAGTTGTGAATGTCGCTTGTTCTTCATAAAACCTTACCCATCTTGATGATCATCATTGCTCGTATAGTGGTCCGAATTTGCATGACCCTCAAACTCTTCATTTCGGGCCAATGGTTCAGTGCTTGAGAATGATAAAGGTGAAGGAGGTGCAATGCCATGATCATCGTCACTATTCAAAATGTCATCCAACTCCACTGGTACACGTTCACCATTGTCGCCAATTCGGTAGGCAAGACGAACGTTGGATCTAAAGCTTGTGTCATAGAGGTCACGAAAGCCGTCGGCATCCTCAAAAGGTACGGTCATCAATCCACGGCCGCCAGGAGCACGCAATTCAAGAAATGGGGCTGTTGTGTTGTCACCAGATTCACTTTTCGCTGTTTTGATGTCGTTACTAGTAAGTCACTTGGCATGTATACATAACAATAATACCGACTTACAGTCTCATCAATAACACCCTCACCTTCCTCCTCTTGCAGACCTTCTGTAACAGTATTCGCATCAATGGCATTTGAATAGGTATCTTGTTTAATTGATTGTCTCAATTAAAGACGAACTTTAGTGTAGCATATGCAACTTAAACGCTTACCATTTGATGCGTGAGATCCACCTTTTGATGCGTGAGATCCACCTTCATCGTCTCCAAATCCAATGCTGCCACCATTATCTCCAAAGTCAAGGTTGCCATCATCACCATAATCGTCATCCTCCGGCTCTTTATCCTCTCCTTGTGAAGAAAGCCTTGTATTTTCAACGTCTTGAGAACGACTTTCGTCATCACCTTCTCCGCTTTGGTAGACTTCAACCATTTCAGGAATGGCATCAACAGCTTCGCCATCCACCACATGTTGCCCATTTAAGGACCGGTCAATGTATTCTTGGTTAACAGCATCATCGGGATGGGGATCGTGGCCATACAAGTAGCGATACGCGGTATCACGAAGAACTCTAGTTCTTGAAGTGTTCATAGCATACACCCCCATCCCTAGGCCTTCAGACTAATGCTTGGGGTCTTCCTCGGTAGCGTTTTGATTGGTAACCCAGGCGTTGAGTTTATGCACCAGCGTTCTATTGCCACGTTCAATAAGGCCTTGCGATTGAGGGTGGCGTGGTCGACCATTGATAAAGCGAAAGGGTAGGCCAGTTGGATTGCAATTCGTCTTTCTAAAAAAAATGCATGTTGTTAGGGACTCATTAATTATACATCATCCATTGTCATTGTTACCATGGCTTGTGCTGTAAACTCGCCACCGTTGTCGCTTTGCAAAAAGATTGGAGGGCCAACAAGACAAAAAAGGTCATGTAATTTCTTGCCAACAACGCTTGAATCCTTTCGCAAAAGAGAATACGCCCAAGAGAATTTCGACCGATGGTCCTTGATATGGAGGATATAGCGTGGTAGGCCATCGGGAGTCTCATTTCCACCATAGTCAATCAAATCCATCTATAATGCAATTAACATGAATGATAAGCATTCGATACTCTGTTACTTCAACAACTCGATCATACCTGAACAATTCCCAAAAATGACGACGCATGAATCGCTTGTGCAGCCCTCTGGGTAACGTTCGGAGTATTGGACCTTGCACAAATGTTGCAATGCTTAACGACAAGTCGAACAAATTTCTCGGGGCAATAAAGGTAGTTCTTAAGCTACATTGGCATGTTAGATACATTTGTAGGCATAATTAATGATAGCGAGAAATAGGTCCTCAACGTCATGCGTTGTGCCAAGTGGCATCCCTACCACCATGACTGCAATCTTCATGTGCACGAGTGATTGTGTTGTACAATTGCTCCTCAACTGCAATCGTCTTTGTTTCGTCACGAAGAAGAGTAACGATAGCAACACCATCCGCAAAAACGGTTAGCTTGAAACGTTCTCGCACCCAGGGTCCAAATCGTTTCCCACGCTGATGAGAGTAGCTTGAATTCTTAACCACGGTCAGTATTGGTTAGCACAATTGGATAGCCGCTTATTAAGGGTAACCATACCTCCAATACACCTTTGATGTCATTATACATCTCCTGATTAATAAAGACCTTGGAACGTCGTGTAGGTGATGACAATGACCGGTAGTGCTCAAGGAGCTCTTGAAACTTGTTTCTTGACAGCCACGAGCACTCAGAGTATCACTGTTCATTTTGAATATGGCAAAGAAAGAAAGCTTGAATACGATGTTGCAATCGCTTATGCCATCAGCCGGTATTTATAGCTAAACGCCGAAATCGTATTATGTAAAGTATAATATACCACTTGCATGGTTTACATGCTTACGCATCACGATAATCGTATGATGACTACTATTACTAGCCTAACTTAACATGAATTATCCTATTCGGGATACGATGACAAAGATTTTATTATGTAAGGTTGTTCTCATCATATGATACTACTTTTACTGGTACGATGACGAAGATTTCATCATGTAAGGCTGTTCTCATCACATGCTATTACTTTTACTGGTAATGGAGATAGCATGACGAAGATTTTATTATGTAAGGTTGTTCACATCACATGATACTACTTTTACTGGCATGATGACTACGATTTCAGCATGATACGTTGTTCTCATCATATGAAACTACTTTTACTGGTAATGGAGATAGCATGACGAAGATTTTATTATGTAAGCTTGTTTTCATCATATGGTATGGTATGACGATATCGAGGTTTCATGGACTTATTCACGTGGTATGCGTTATTACAACTCCTTTATTCATCCACGTGATGCGTAACATGCATGAGAAAATAGTTAGCGTATGTATGCTATGATGTCCTAGGATGTTTCGGTACCTGCACCGACGACTGAAAGGTCCTAGGACGTTTTGGAGTCCTGAAATGTCCTAGGGCATATCGCGATATGTCCGGGTCCCGAAATGTCCTACAACAGAACATACCTCTCAACAGTAATACTGTCAGGGAATTGCTTAGTGAAATCCCATTGCGATTGACGACGTTTTTCGGTTGAATGATCCTTAACAACAGTCATTGCGATAAAAGTGATGAAAGTAAGACACCGTGGTAAATCCCTGCGTGGAAATCCGTTCTATGCACGTACATGGCGATGAATAGTCATGGGCAGCCGTGAACTACCTTGAAAACACTTGAATGCGGGTGAATAGTCATGAATTATCTTGAAAGTGCTGTAAGTACCGGGGGTTCAAATACTCCTTACCATGAGTAGCAGTGAATTACCTTGAAAACACTGTGAGCGTCGGAACTCAAAGATGCATGGCCGTGGATAGTCGTGAATTATTGTGGATACTCTTGAGCAAGCGTGCTCCGAACGTGAAAATCAGTGAAAAGACATGATTACATATAATGTAATAAGATAGAATTGGATGAAAAGTCTAAGCATTCAATAATATCCATGGATAATCTTTACATGACTTCTGTTTTATTACAATTGACTTAAATGGCCTAATACAATGTCGTTGGGAACCATACCAGGGTAAACGTAATAGAAACGGGGTTCCTGTGATGGCTGGGTATCGTGGATGGGATATAGCCAGCTTGGCAGTCAATGGATCCTACGTCAGCAACATATCTCTTACACAGCGTGCCCGAGTAGTTATAGCCTTGTAATCCATATGGCACTCCTGCACCATTGAGCTTCAACTCATTGTAAAGGTTCAAAAGGACCAGCGTTTTCTCGTGACCTGAAAAGAGATGCGAAGGAATCATTAGTAACATCACAATGTGTTCTCAGGACATCACCTTGATATGAATGCGTGAAAAAGAGTAAACATTCTCCAGAGTAAGTTCGCCACACACGATCGGTTTCAGCGGTAACATCATGGTAATTTCCATCTACAGGTAAGCTGATCTTCACGAATGCTGTAGGTTTCTTTTGTGCCTTTCTTGGGAATAACTGTGATCCGTAGAATGTCCCAGTAGAGGAATCAAATAACTCCTTACCGACTTTGATGGTTGATCCTCGTAACGATGACGTGTTGCATCCAAGATATTGTCTCCAATATTTTTGAAGAAAATAGTGTAGGATTTGTCCATCGAAATCGCTGACAGTCAACTCCCCTTCCACAACTCGCCATAACGTAGGAGACTTCTGATCCAATCCTTGGTCGCCATCTTGCATTGTATTGTTCTCGTCGGCATCTGCTGGTTCATCCTGTTTAGGTTGCCTATCATAATCCTTGTATGCGGCAGCGAAAAAAAAGCTGATTTGCTGCATTCTCAGCAGTGGCAACTTTTGATTTGATTCTTTTCTTGAAAGCCCGAATTGTACGCTCGAGAGGTCGTATGCTGTACCTTCGCATTGGTCCCAATAGTTCGATCGCGCGAGCTACATGCTGCAAGTAGTGGAAAACCGGCGTATAGCGATTCTTGATGGCATTGGATGCAAATTCATGCCATACTTTGGCGCAGCTGCAGTGACAAATTAACGAAACGACTATACGTTTCCTTTTCACGTTGCATACCTTTTTATCTTTCCAATATCGTCTTTGTCAATACACTGCTGCAATGCTAAGGCGACAACTGTCACCAAACAAATGAGAGCTCTTATAGGTGTAACACCAAATGAATTGCTGCTATTGATATTATCTGAACCTCGCATCTCTTCTGGGGGATGATTATTGTGATCGTTGTCATAGCTGTCGCTGGTAGAATGCGTGTCTCCTGTATCATCCTCATGTGTATGTTGCAAGGCATTGACGTGGTCTTCATCGTTGACAATGCTGGCATCCTCGACTACTTGTAATTGCTCATATATGGCTGTCACCGAAAGAAAAAGAAGTACATCAAGCCAATCAATTGCACGTGCATTGTTAGGGTGTCGAAAAATATCTAGAGGCCATAATCTCAATATCATGTCAGCCTGTTGTTGTCCAAGTATCTACCTGGCATCGAGCCTTCAAAGCATGGAGGAAGATTTGCACTGGCTGCAGCATGGCCAATAGCTTCTTGTGCATGTTTTGGAACAGTCAGCGGTGTATCCTCCTTGTCTCCTGATACCATTTTCCACATCTGCTTCGCAATGTTCGACCCAAACAAGTGCATTTCATCGAGCCCAAAGTAGTATGCTCCAGAGAATGCTTGCAAAGATGCAAAGAAACTGGGACTTCTCAAATTGTGCTCCTGTTTAAGAAATAATACAATTTAATCTCGATGTTACCTTATGTCATCCAAAATAAACTTACCTTATCTCCAAGTTGAAATGATTCAAACTGATCTTTCTTGCATTTCACTTTCGATGCTTTTGCTCTGATCACCATGATAATATCTTCCTTTCCCGGAACCAGGTCCTGGTGCTTTGATAGGTATGCTTTTCATCAAGCACATACGGCAACCACAATTCGAGTTATGTCCAACATGTTGACAAAGCAGAGCGGCTCCTGGAATGTCGCCGGATGCCATCACAACATGCGCACGTGCTTATACTATAAGGCCGTCTTCGCAAGTAACTCTTAGCCCTTCAGATTCCAATTGACGCAATTCTTCATATAATGGGGCAAGGAAATTGTCCGCATTGAGTTTCCTGATGCTAACAGGCAAAATGGTGATAGGGATCATGTTTTTGTCCTGGTATCTGTGGAGCGATTTGAGAACGATATCCTGAAACTTTTTCATGCCTCATACCTTTCACTTGGTGACATGTTTAGAACCACCGCATGGACCATTGTCAAGCTAATATTGGACATCGAGAAGACCTTGAACCCATCGACGAATAAAAGCAAGGCAATGTCGTAATCATTGTTAAAGAGCTGCTGTTGCTTTGTACGCCATATCTCGGCGTCAAAATAGTCCATCATCGCACCATCAGCAGGCGTCTCGTGTTGTAATCGATACTCAAGTTTTTCTCTTGTCGAAACTCTTCCAATCATGGTTGCAAGCTGACTTGCAAGCGGTAAATACTGCATTGTAGCGAAAGGCTTGCCGCCAGCATCATAGCGTGGTGCCATGCATGTCTGGCACTGCGAATCCTCATCATTGATATATACGCCACACTTGTTCTTGCACATGTCGAATTGTTTCACCTTTCCAGAAAATCCCCGTTTCACCAGCTCCTTAGTCTTATAGACAGATAGCAATGGGGCGCATGCTGAAGGACATTGTTGTAAGTATTGTGTGTCACGTTCATTGGCTTTGAAGATATGTACTTACGTTGATTGCTATTGATGCACTCGTTGAAGAAATTAATGGATGCTTCTTGTGCACTACGTGATGGGTTGTGCTGTTGGGCTACCTTGAAGAACTCCACGCTGATCTTCTCACTTGGGGTAAGGAGCTGGATTGGTGCAACTGCATATGACAACTTGGGCGCCGTTGCTTGTACTTCATGTCCACCATTACCTCTGGAACTCCAATGTTCACCATCCCTGTCGTTTGGCATCATACCCTCTTCAACTTGTGGGGGATCGTGATCCATCTCATCTGCATTACAATCCATCATATTATCGCCGCCAGAAAAGCCGTCCATGGCACTATCATCTTGGGTATGCATACTGCTTGTTTGATCATCTCCCATGCTAGCTCCTGTTTTCTGCATCAGATCATCCATAGCCTTTGAACGAAGCCGTTTGATGTTACCTTGATTGCTCACTGTTGGCGAAGCGAGACCAATCGATGTACCTTCGATATCATCATGATTATTGGCCGCTTGTTGGTGGTGGTGCTCTTGACACAGCCTTTTGCTTCGAAGGAACTTGTCATTTGCATACTTCTCACGATTGGCACTGTAGCATTTCCTCCTATGCTTTCCCAGTGCTTTGATCGTGTATACAAGGTTGCAGTGCGGGCATTTCCCCATGTTGGTCAACGCGTTTTGGCTGGAGGGGAAGGTGGAAAAGAGGGAGGGGGGAAATTTATTTTCAAAGTCGCGTTTGATCCTCCTTACTGCTTTCCCACCGCCATGACACACAACACAGATCCACCCCAAGAGTGTCAATCACAGCAAGAAGCCACAACCGCTAACCAGTCTCTCCAAAGGATTAATGAAGACGTACTCCAACAAATCGCAACGGCATTGCAGCAGATAGCAGACACCCAAAGGTCAATCTTGCACAGGCTTGATGCCCACGAGACCATGTCCACCGATAGTAGAATTTCCTTGCAGTCTTCAAGATCTTATCAGTCCTCAGCCTCCATGAGATCGTTAACAACAGCTACACGCCGCACAACTCTAGTCGCGCGCCCAACGGAGCAAAAGCCTGGAAGAACAAAAAGGACCCTTCCCAGGACTACGAAAGGTGATATTATTACCAAGATTGTCAATCCTAACAATGACAAGGATGAAGAAGTGGTGGAAGGTCTTGTACGTACGATATCATCATTCGCCGATGATGCTATCAGTGATCACGCGCGGCGTTGCCATGGACATGATATTCCTGCTGCCACATGGGCGCGCACTCCTCGACAACATCGCAACACTACCATCGAGTATTTTCAGCAAACAGTACTTGAAAAATTGAACATTGATATGACTTGTGCAGAAAAGTCATTGGCCAGCTGTACACATACTGACTGAGAAATGGAATAACGCGTATCAATATCGAAATCGAAAAGAGTTAAGTGGATCATGCAACTAGCGCGCTGTTATCAGCATTTTAACATCAGGTCGCATAGGCGGAGAAATCAGACGAGGCGGCATGAAACAGAGCCTGTGGACTCGGCAAGTTCTTCAAGGTAAGGTAACACACATTTATTAATGAAACTGGCATACCTCGATTTAACGACAATTATGCGTTTTTATTATGTAGATATTCAGTGAGAAATGAGTCTGGAGAAGAGGTACCCAACACACCAGCAAGGTAAACGCTTGGATAAAGGGAGCTCAATACATTGATCAAGCTTCACATGTTAGGGGAAACAATAATCAACAACATGGTGGGGTACTGTCAGATAACCGTGGAGCCAATATGATCGAGAGCAGCCTGCAAACATCCAGGTAAGCTTCATGTTATGGATATCTTCTGCTAATGTTGTCGCTCACTTTGCTGAATATTGCTAGCAATCATGTGGCGCATTCGACGTACCAAAACCAAGAGCAAGCGAATACGAGGTTGGTTTTATTTCGGCTATCTCTATACTCTTAATGCATTGCCGAAATGTAAGCATACCAATTTTTGCTTTTAGTACAAGCCAAAACAATGCACCCGCCCCACACGGATTGGATGCCATTAACATTCGACGCTTATTTTCATCATCACCGACGCTACTGGAAATTTTGAACAACGCTGCAATCGGGGCAACAACACTTGAGAGCGATGCCATTGTCTTGTACGTGAACAGCTAGTATCACATTGGATCAGTGAGATGATTAACTGCCCACAGTAACAACGATCCCATTCATGTTGGCGAACCCACGGCTGGTGGATCATTGCTAGATCATAATCAACAAACGAGCAGCAGCTCAACAGATACGGTAGAAAGGCAAGTCATTGTTTGGTAATTGTATGCATATGGTAACTTCCATATGATTCTGCTAGTCAACAAAGCCAAGTACCACAGCAAAGCCAAGGACGAAAGCGACGTTCAAACGCTGAAAACCCAACATCTACGCGGCGCAGCACACGACTACCAGTGAAAAGAATACCTATGTGATTGTGAATCAGCTAATAAAATTGATGTGGGTACCCTGTTAATATACTTGACTACTACGTGAACTTCCTTGAATACAACGTGAATGTACCAGTAATGATGATGTCAATATCTTGTGAATTTCCTTGACTACTGCGTGAATTTCCTTGGCTACTACGTGAATCTATGTGAATCTACTAGCAAGAATGATGTGAGTTTCCTTGACTACTACGTGAATTTCCTTGAATACAAAGGTAATAATGATGTGACTATCTTGTGAATTTCTTGACTACCACGTGGATTTCCTTGACTACCACGTGAATCTACTAGCAGTAAGTGTGTGAGTTTCCTTGACTACTACGTGAATTTCTTTGACTGCTACGTGGCTTTCCTTGACTACGACGTGAATCTACCAGTAATAATGATGTGAGTTTGCTTGATTGCTACGTGAATTTGCTTGACTACTACGTGAATCTACTAATAATAATGATGTGCATTTCCTTGAATACTACGTGGAAAGACTTGGATGTCACGTAAAAAGACTTGATTTATCATTAAAACCGGTGATCAGTGAAAATCTTTTAACCTTCGGTTTTGACAAACATTTCACCACTCTACTTTCACGATTATTCATGGCCTTTAATAGGGTGTTCACTCTTTGCATTTCCTTGGGTGAGAGAAAGAGAGAAAAAAACTTTTTCTCCTCAGCCACCTAAAAAACCTTTTCCACGTTGTCGTATGAAAGTGATACTCAACATCTGTGTAGCAATATGGGTCGTACCCAATACCTTTTGTACTCCAACTCTATCATCTTATATATATACATGCAATACCCAAAACAATAAAGAATACAAGTCTTTCCAAAAGTATTCAGGTACGTGCTATTGCTTTAGTGCTTTGTATAGCTACGTCCCTCTACACGACAACCTTGAAAGTCACAAGAAAACCCGACAAAACACTTTTGTCGTTATCGTATGGCTGATTAGATCAGTGGCCAATGATATAA